GCTGTGAAGCTGAAGTAATAACGTGAATTAATTTATACACTCTGCATTTAAAGGTCGAGTACTTTTAACAACTTCTCTCCATGTTCCTGAGAGTAGGAAAAAAGCTATATTAAATAATATTTATAAATGCTTGAAGAACAAGGTCTCTTAATGAATGGTACACTTGAACTCCTACATGATACACATTCAGACGGAAAGTTTACATTGATTTTACTCAGTGGCAAAGAAGTTAGAACTGTGCCGGTTACCTTTTTGTTTTCACCACACAAAACTTTATTTCCTTGTCACTCAACTTCACCAAGATATCACACCCTATAAGACTGAAAGTACAGAGGCAAAATAATCAAAGAAAAAAAAGTAGAAGATTGTATTTTAGAATTCCTCTGTTCAAGAGTGTATTCTAACACATTGACTAATAGTATATTCATTTCTGTGACAGGATTGGTGGCTGGCAAGCAATGAGGAGAACCCAGAACCTGAAGTCAGGGCTCCTCTGTTTGAGTCTGGCCCTGCTTCGTATTTATGTGACTGTGAGTGAGTCACTTAAAGCCCCTGAGCCTCATTAGGTGCATCTGTAGAATGTATTGCATTGGTCCACACTGCTGAACTGATGAGATGAATCAATGAACTCACTGGGTTCACTGTAAAAGACTGTACAAATTTCAAGCATTGTTACTTTTATTTACTTCTTTTTAAGTTACACAGGACTTGGAAATAACTGAGAGCATAACTGGATGTACAACTTTGTGGGAGTTAGGTAAGTCCTGACCTTTACCTTGAAGTCACATGGTCCTTCCCTTAGAAAGGAAAGAACAAAAACTAAAAATAGAACCTTCTGGCACTTACCAGGAGTACGGAGAAAACTAGTGCTTGAAATGTGTAAGGTTTTCCTAGAGTTATTTAGGTAAAAAATTAGACTTTTTTGTAAAATGCTCATGATTCTACTTTTATAATCTATAATGGTACCTACTAATATACTCTGCTTTTACCTCTTAATGATCTGCCCACCTAATACAAGGTTTCACACACAATAGGCTGTCAAATAAATGCAGGATAAATTGAAATAGGAAAATTTTCAGGTGTGAAATGTTACACATAATATACATCGGTCAATGGGATTTTTTAAAAAATCTGTCTCTTTAGGTAACATTTCTATTACTCAAGCATATTTTACATAAAAACATCATATTAAATGTCTCAGCAAATTAAGAAGTTGTTTCATTTCTATTTCACCACTTTACATAGTCATATTTGCTACCACGTTCTTTCTTTCAATTTGTATGTCATTGGTTATGAAGAAACATGCCCAGGAAAACATGTTTGTACCACATTGCCCTAACCCTAGGTCATGCCAATTAGATCAGGGCTTCTATCCATTAAGGGGAAAGAAATAACTAATATTTATTGACTAGTCACTATATCCAAGGCACTACTCTTACTTTGTCCTCTCCACATGTAATAACTTATTTACTGCTCATCACAACTATGATGTAGTACTACTGTTATCATTCCCATTTACAGATGAAGAAACTAAGCCACAGAATCCTAAAGAAATTTTCCAAGACATAACATGCCAGCAAGGTTTGGAGCTTAGATTCAAATCCAGACAATTCAGCAGAAGTACTTGGGCTCCGACCATTACTGATACTGTCCTAAATCTTTTGTACCACCTTAATACCATTTTTAGTTGAGGCTAAGACAATTTTATTTTGTATCTCAAGAATTTGAAGTACACATTGATAGACTGAGTCAGTTGGATGGTGTTGGACACTAGAGGTGAAAGGTCATTTAGCCCTGCAACAAAATGGAAAACTGGTAGGCCCTGGGGAAAACCAGCCCTGGAATACCATTTCAGCAAGAGCTGACTACACTTCCTGAAATCAGGGTCCGAGAAAATCCCCTGAATTTCCAATCACTGAACTTGTTACTTGAGTTGATTTGTGCAAGTCCTTGCCCCTGGCAGTACAAAAACCCCTCCACCAGGAACAACTAAAAATTGTACACAAAATATAAAAAAGTAAATAGAAAGGAATGTCCAGAGAGTAAAACCAACTGAAAGCAGAAGTCAGGTGGTTAAGGGGAGCACTTTATTCAGGTGTCCTCTCAGAACATTTGATGTATTTAGTGGACTTGAACTTGATGGTTCACAGCCCAAAGGGTGTTTGCAGTAGATCACAAGGCCCAAGACCAGCCGGAGATGGAAAGTCTACAAGATCATATGCCCTCCTGTGACTCGATTAAACTGCATTGTCATTGTACCAGAAACATCGCAGGCATCACACTACAGACTGCTGGTGGTTGCAGAGAAACTAGTCTGTCCCTAAACTGGGCACCAGTGATGGGGAACAGAAAATACAACATGAAGACTCAAGACCAAGTGATCCCCCACATGGTTTTACAGCCAAATTGTGTACTATCAAGGTGGTTCAGACATCTAAAACAGTTTGTGGTGTTGGTGAATGACCCAGGCCTTGGAAGAAGGAAATGTAAACTCTCTCAACTAGTTCATCTAATTTAGCCCAAGGTTCAAATAATTCCCATGTGATAAAGATCCAGGCTATGCTCCTGTGTAAGGCAATATGAATCGAGAGCCAGGAGGAACTACAGAGAGTAGAATCAGATTGATAAAGACATTACATAGCAAAAGGAGCAATCGGAAAATATAAATTGAATATGCTTTAAATAGAAGGGAATTAAAATGTGATTAAAACCAAGAGATCATGAGAATTACAGTAACTAAACATTTTTAAAAATTGTCCATATAAAACTTATTGTTGAAACCAAACAACCCCCCACCCTCAAAAAAGCAAATAAATAATAAATACAAAAATGTCCAAGAGTGATTAGCTGTGGGAAAGGGACGTGGGGGACAAAGAGCTTAAAAGCTATGGTGTCAGACAGTGAGAGGTGTTAGTGACAGGGCAGATTCACTCACTAAGGAACAGGAAAAAAAGCCAAAAAACACAGAGACACACACCATTTTTTCTTTATTTCAAAGCTAGTGGTATCATCACTAGGGAAAAGCTGTTGCTCCCTGGCCACTGCTCATCGGTACAGCTAAATACCACACCACACAGAAAATTATTACCAAATGAATCACCAATCACCACAGAAGGAAGCTGTAGCTGAGCTATCCAATCCAATAGTCAATAACCACATGAAGCTATTTACATTGAAACTTAATTAAAATTGAGTTCAAAAATTTAGCTCCCCAGTCACACTTGAAATTTCAAGTGCTCAATAGAGACATCTGGCCAGTCCCTGTCATCGGACAGTGCCAGATAATGATGTTCGAATCAGTGTAGAAAATTCTATTAGACAGTGCTCAGAGACATTTAAGATAGCAATTTTATGAGCTGGGAGTTGAGGAGGATGTATTAAGCAAGAAATAACAAGGTAAACAAGCAAAAGAATGGAAATAACTGATAATCTCAGTTATTAAAACTCAGAACCATTTATCAAAAGATACTACATAGAAAACAAACAGAAGAGCCTTCATCTGAAGGATAGCACTTTTCATATGCATATACATAATATATGAGACATATCAATAATCTGTGTGAGCAATAAAAAGATAATCACACAAAAAATGGACTAAAGACAGGCATTTCATTCCATTTGATGACAGAAAAAGATAATTACAGTATGACTTATTTTTATACATACCCTTGTTCTATTTTAAATCAGCAAGAATAAGAGAAGAGTAACAACCTATTTTTCAGCGTGGAAGGAGGATTACATTGCTTTAGGCAGCCACCCAGCAACATATAAGTAGCTTGATAACAATGTTTGAACATGTAATTAAATAAATACTTCTAACGTTAGCTTATCCTTCATTAAAAGATAGTTTTCTGGTTCACCTAACAATTTATCTTTAACTCATTTTGAGCACACAATAGAGTACTTGGGAAAAACATAGTATACTTATGGACACTGTTCACTGAGTGTAGAATTGACAAAGGCATTAATTTTGTATTTACTTCGGAAGAATCAGAAAACACAGAGGGGTGCGTGTGATTGGAGGGGAGGGTGTGTGTGAGTGTAGGGCAGGAAAAGCACACAAAGTAATAAACATATGAGGAAATACTGAAAATATAATTGAAATGTGTAATTTCCTCAAAGCAAAGCAAAGTTGCATCCCCGAATTGGTGGTTATTACTCTGCACCATCCTCTTTTTTTCCGGAACAAGCATGGGCAGGAAAAAAAAACTCACCTTCTTAGCTTCCACATAAAAATAAGTTTTCATATTTAAAAATAAACTTGTTTATGTACCTTAACATTTGAAACAACACTACATCTACATTGCATTAACAAATGATCTAACTTACACTGTCTTAGTTTTAACCAGAAGTGTAAGAGAGGCATTAAAGGGGTTTTGACCATTTATTCTGGCATATTATAAAAAAGTAATGTTATTACACAGCCTCAAAATAATTTAAACTATAAATTAGTATCATAAAATACCAAAGATTCACATGTGGTGATTTGGGCAGTGTGAATATAGGCCAATGGTTCTAGAAGTAGACTCAGTCTGCCAGAAAGAAATATGCAATGGGGAATACTCTGCATGGACTCCAGGAGATTACCAGGTGATTTCACCTCTCATCGTCCTTGTAATCTGAGAATGAGAGGGGAATAATCAATACCTTGGCAATTCTAGTACAAGGTAAATAGTGTTAGCTGCACAAAGAGTGGGACATTCAAGTCAGATTAAATATCTTAGTATGTATGACAATCACTAGTAGTTAGTAAAACTCTATACCACAAATCAGAATTCTAACCCAATCCACTGTACGGATAGTAGGATTTAGCTTGTAGGCTGAGGTTCAAGGATTCTTTTCCCCAGAAGAGACAGTAAAGAACACTGCAGTACCCCAGTCCTCAGAGGACTGGGGAGCCAGAGATTTCCACAACCAATAATCGGTGTGGCTCAGTTGGTTGAACAGAGTCCTGTGGAGCTCGAAATGTTGCCAGTTTGATTCCTAGTCAGGGCATGTACCTGGGTTGTGTGCAGGTCCCGGATTAGGGATGTGAGAGAGGCAACCAACTGATGTTTCTCACACATTGATGTTTGTCTCCTCGTCCTTCTCCCTCTTTCCACCTTTCTCTAAAAATAAAATAAACAAAATATTGTTTTAAATAGTATGTGGAACCAAGCATAAGATACCCCTAATAACAGAAGAAAATGGGACTGGGAAAGTCAAGCTCATGAATACAGGCATGTAACTTCTATTACAAGAAAACAAGGGGCTGCCCTGGCTGGTGTGTCTCAGTGGCTTGGGCGCTGGCCTGCAGACTGAAAGGTCACCAGTTCAATCCCCAGTCAGAGCACAAGCCTGGGTTATGGGCCAGGTCCTCATTTGGGGGTGTATAAGAGGCAGCCAATTGTTGTTTCTCTCTCACATCATGTTTCTTTCCCTCTCTTTTCCCCTCCTTTACCCTCTCTCTGAAAATAAATATATTTTTTAAAAAGGATCTAGATTTGACAGAACAACAGTGGAGACCCATAGGTCAATCAGCACACACCAAGTCTTGAGTCAGATTTGTTGTTGGGGAACACTGCTAAAAATTAATCCTTCTGATTATCAGTATGGGGAACCCTGTTCCAGCTTAGCCTCACTACTTCCCAGACACTGCCTCTATTCAGAATGGCCTACCAAACCACATTGTATTTGGGCTGGTTTTATAAGCACAACTTTACACAGATAAATAAAGCAGACACAGATTCTGGTGTGAAGAGCAACTTTTTACAAAGTAAAACAAACAAGCAAGCAAAATATAACCAGAGACATTGAAATAAAGAACAAACGAACAGTAACCCCACAGCAGGGTGGGGGGGATAACAGGGGAAAGAAGGGAACGGGTCATCAAGGACCTTGTATAAAGGACCCATGGACAAACCAAACAGGGGAAAGAATTGAGGGTGGGAGGTAAGGGTCAGGGCAGGGGGAAGTGGTGGTGGGAAAATGGAGATAACCGTGCTTGAACAACAATAAAAAAAGAAGAAGAAATGCAGAAAAAAGTAACCCTGTAAATGATAAAAACTAAATATCTCTCCTCGTTTTGGGGGGTGGTGAACTTTCTGGCCTAATTTTATGCTTCTGATGAATAACTCCATATGGTTGCCCTTGGAGATATATCCTATTGTGCATTTGATTTCTCTTCCTCGCAGTTGTGCGCCTCCTACTTCCTAGAACTTCCTGCTCCCTATTCCTTCCAAAGAGGAAACACACATCCCTAGTTCTCTCATGCGGTCACAGGGGTAAAAGTACAGATGCCGGAGGGGGGGGTGTTTGTTTATTTGTTTTGTCTTTTTTTTTTTTTTTGCAAAACCAAGAACAGAAAATGATTAGAAGGGCCTTAGTCACTGAGTTTCCAGGCTAATAAAAATGTCAAGAGAAACGTCATCATTTTGTGAGCATCACATGCCAAAAACTGTGTTCCACACGCACAGGCAGGACCAGTTGCCTGATGCATGCGTCCTTAATATTCTCTCATGCAGACCATGTTGTGCTGCCTTCATATACAGTAGTTCATAAACACAGCACTTTACAAATTCAATAATCACTTGTACTTTTTCAGAGAAAAGGGTTTGTATATAGATAATTTCCAGTTGATCTGTTTTACTTTGCACATAAAATGCCAACAATTAATCTATAGCATGAGTAATGAAAACTTTTTCATAAGTAGGGGTCTATAGTTGCAAAAAATCAAAAACCATTCAACATGGCTTAAGGAAAGGGGAGGAAAAGAACAGTACCAATGTACCAACATAGGACTTAACTGCAGAGGTAAGGCATTAGGCAGCTGCCCTGTCTCTGTAGGGTCCTGAACATTTCAAATGTTGAGTATTATTTAAGTGTTACAGTGTGAAATCTGGGTGGCTACTTTCAGTATTATTACTTACTAACTTTGCGAACTTGGGTGAGTCACTTAATATCTCAGAGCCTTAGTTCTCATTTCTGTAAGGTAGAAATAATGGTACTTACCTTGTGTATGTGGATTAAACAAGATAACACATGTAAAGTGTTTAGAATACTGCCTGAGACAACGGGCACTCAATAACACAAGTCATTGTAAGAACATCATTATAATTGCTGGTTTTGAGCATATGCTTCACTCTTCCCTTAGCCTGGCAGCTGCATCCATTTGCACATGTTAGTGTAGCCACCAGCTCAGAGTTAACAATATCATATAACTTCAGTGCCCACCACTTCTGATCTGCTCAGCCCATGTCATGTGATACAGACAAGGTTACCTTCTCTAGAGCCGTGGATAAGAATAGAGTCCTCAGAATCTGTCCACAGGGAACGAAAGACCTGCCTTTCTGGTATGAATGCTGCCAATTCGCAATTTAATAAAAATGTAAAGAAGACAATTCACAGAGAGTTTCCCTCTCAGGCTAATACTAAGATACATTTACTAACAAATGAGAAAATACGAGCTAAGAAAAATACAAGCTGCTTGCAGATGGTAAGTTTACTGTATGCCTGCAAACCTTTTAACTGAAGCTGGACAATCACTTTTTCATGGATTCAGTAAGATTAACACTGAATGAAATACTGGGCGAAACTACCTCTAAGTTCTTTTGACTGCATGATTACATTGATACAGACATATAGTGTAAAATCCATGACACTAAGCCTGCAAGTCTAGAAATTAAATTTTCCTTTGTTTGCATCCTACAAATCTGAAAAAGAAAAGGGTATACCTTGTAAATCAGATTTGGTAAAGGTTAAATGTCCATTTCAACAGGAAGTATTTGATTTAAAATCTTCACAACAAATTGAGAAGTCGCTGGAAGAAGGTTCAGTACTTTAGGGTAGGTAAGAAACGAAATGGATCCACTGAATAGTTGTTTATAATCAGGTGTTATAAATAGGAGAATATAAGGAAAGAAAAATCAGAAAAATTTAGCAGCATAAAATTCTACATAGAAAGCATAGCCAACTTCCTAGTAAAACACCATTTCTACTACTGACATATCCTTTGTAAACTAAAATTTCACTGTAGATAGGTGTTTCCCACAAAATTAAGAAAAAAGTGAGTTGTGAGCAAGGAGAAGGAGATGACAGTGTCACCTATCAAAAGTCACAAGCATTTCTCTTAGGAAGTGCTTGACCTTAATACCTGCGTGTATGTTATTACCAAAAATGCAATTAGGAAGGTAAGATCACACACAATGAGAGTGTGTACTGAACAATGAAGACTGCTAATAGCAATGCATTTTGGAATTGAAAGAGAGCATTCTACTTGAAAGAAATTAGCTTTGCATAGTCTTTATGTTCATTTCCTCAGAATGTGTAGGAAGTGTAAAAGGAAAAGTCCACTGTGCTGTTTTAGTAGACTTGTAAACACTAGTCAGAATTCAGGGAACCTGTTCTTGTACTTCCTGAATGAAGGTGACTTTCAATCACTTTTAGTCCCATTATTGAGTACAACAATATTTTTAATTTCATCGGTCTCAGTCATGCTAGAAAGACTGGAATGAGATTATGTGGAAACATAATTAGCAAAAAAAAATATTAAGCGTCTATATTTTAGATGCCAAATTTAGATTGGTAAGCCAGGTAGTTTAGTAGGTGTTTAAGCATGACGTATATAAAATAAAGCTTTAGAATATGGTGAGAAAAGGTGATTTAGAGATGCAGAGTTGTGTGTTTAAGAAAATCTTTGCAGTCATGAAGTCTGATAATCAGAGAAGCATATAAATAATATTAATAATTGACAAAATAATCACAGTGACTTCACAAGGGAAGTGTTCAAGTAGTCCCTAGTATTTAAAGAGTTTTGAGTCTTTCAGGCCAGATCCCAGGTCTCAACAATTACTTCTTCACTTTAATAATTCCATTTGGCATTTTCCTTTCTATTACTGTTGAATCAATATTCAAATGTTATTACCCCATATGAGCTCAGTATTTGTCATTTCATCATGAAAATGGTGGCAGTGGCTACCTACTCTGAATACCTGAGAATGTCGTACATTTACAACCCCGCAAATGTAATCCAAATTTAGTTACTCTCCAGGCACATTCAAGGCTCTATAAATAATACTTTCGAAACTCTATTTTGTCTTACACACAAAGGTCTTTCCTCAAGGCTGTGTTTCCTAAATGGTGTTTCATAACATTTTTGTGCTTTAAAATTATTTTCAAAAATGGCGTCTGTAATTAAATAAGTTTGAGAAATTTTGAACTTAGGCATCACTTGAATAACTATAGATTAGAGGCTAGTGCCTGTCCAAAGCCAAGTAGAATTTTATGACTATATTAATAATGATGGATGAGAAGTATACATATATTTAATAAGAAACCATTTTGCCTTTATAAATCTAATGAATGTGCACTAATTTAAATAACATATTCACATGACTAAACACTTAAAGGATAGAGACATTATATATGCAGATTATTTTTTTATTCCATACTTTGTGGAGAAACGGAGCTAAAAATATTAGAAAAGTAATTTCATCCATACACTACATATTAACTCAAAATATCATACATTAGAAAAACACAGACTAATCCAGCCATCTCTCTAAAGAATGCATTTATTCTACAACAGATAACTAAAATCTCTAAAACCTCACCAATTTAAGTAAATTATCAGACAAAATATGTCTTTTAACTGGGTAATGATGATGGAAAATATATTATTAAGCGTAACAGTGAAAATGAGCTCTAGGTATCTTTTAAATAATAAATGTTGGGGGAACCATGGGAATACATTATATGTACTTTAGTTTTCCTCATAATATGAGCTTATTCTATAAATGCTGAAATGCCGTTCATTTCCTTGGACAATACTTTTCTCCAGAATAAAAGTTACTCAGTTTCCCTATCTCATTCTATTTAACATTATTTCTTTTTTGCCCTTACAGACAGCTGACTTGAAACAATTGAATTGAATAACTAAGGAATAGAATCAGGTGGTCTCAAGAAGATGACAGGGTTATTTTTACAAAATAAAAGTGAAGTAATATAACTTCAATGGGAATTTTATTTGTATTTGTAAAAAAACTAACATTTTTTCCATTAGAAACTAAAATAACTATCAAAATTTAAGATAAATTCAGGTATAGCTAAGAGCTTGCTTATAGAGGATAAA